CTCACCGGGGCTCGGTTCGCGCTCCCCGCAGCCCAGGTGACAGATCAAGGTGCTCGTTCAGCACCACAGCCACGCGCTCTGTCCCTGCCACCTCCCCGCCAGCAGGGACGAGGTGTCACCCGCAATTCCAGCCCCTTCGCCCGTCCCGGCACCAGCCCGGAGCTTGGAGCTTCAGGAGCTCAGCTGGAGCCGCTTGGGCTCCAGGGCCGTGCAGCAGAAATCCCACCCCCTGGAGCAAGTCCCACCCAAGGAGCCAGCCTTCCTGAGAACTGTCAGGGTAGACGCACGGCTCTCACACCAAGCTGCTGCACACGGCAAGGCCAGCTTTGCTCAGGGCCACACAAGAGCTCCCTGCTTCCTTTCAGCCCTCCTAGGTCCCTTAGCACCTTTATAGAGAGCAGCTTCACTCCCAACACCCAACTGACCCCAACACCCAACTGACATCTCTATGAACAGACTCCTCTCAAGCCCAGCAAGACCCCAAGTCAGCCTTGCTCCTGCCTCCCTCCACCATCAGCACCTGAAGATGACTCCACCAGCCATCACTGTCCACCTGTACCCAGTTTGGAAGCAGGATTAGACTCTTTCAGACCAGCATAGTAATCAAATCAGTTTAATATATAGTCAACACATTGTAAATGCATCTGAATCCTACAGTATTGCTGTCAGCAGTGGCCACCAAGCCCAGGAGACCACCTTTCTAGAAAGGCACAGAGAGGGAGGGGAGTAGGGGGGGGGGGCATTTCCCCAGATTAGTTGCAAGTGAGAATGTGCACATGGGACCTTCCTTCTGGAAGCCCGAGACAACCAGGAACTTGTGCTTTTTGAAAGGAATGCTAATGTGCTGGGACAAGAACAGGCCCCTGGAGTAACAGCCAAGGCCAACAAGTCAAGAAACTCTTGCTGGCTTTTGCTTAGATTAAAAGGAAGAAGAAAAAAAAAAAAAAAAAAGGAGATAGAAGAGCTTGTCTCTGTGTGTGTGAAAGGTTTTTGGTGGGGCAGGAGCAAGAAAGGTGCACAGGTTGCTTTGACCCTTGGCCAGAGACAAGGAATGTTACTTGCATTGCTTTGGACTCTTGTTATCACCCCAGGAGTGAGTGAGAAGAAACGTGTCATCCTCTGAGAGTGCCACCACATTTTCCTGCACCAGCAGAGCAAGAGGAAAGCTCTGGAGCCAAGTGAGCATCTGGAGTGGGGACAACGGTGCCATCAAGCATTTGTCTCATCTTCTGTGGCAGCTGAAGGGGGAAGTGGCACCACAGGGGTCTCTTCATGGAGCCTGGGGTCCCGTGGCTCTGCAGGAAGGCACTGGTTGGGAAGGTCTGGAGGTGCTAATTCTCAAATTTGGCATAAGGGTTCTCCTCCTTGAACAGGCCTGGAAGAGGGGAGAGATGGGTTCAGTCACAGCCAGCAAGAAACAGAGTTCTTGGCCACAACTCTCATCCAGCCTCCTGTCCTGGAGCCCTTCTGGAAGACCTGCTCTCACTCAAGCTGTGCACACAGTCAACACTATTTCACTCTCCTCTGCACCCAAGGAGATCCATGAGGAAGCCTGACCTGATGGCAAACCCCTCTTGCAGGAACTCATTATAAAGCCCAGGTAAAGCAGCACGACTGATCTTCCAGAGCACCCCTTCTGCATGCTCCTTCTGTGGGACTGGACTCAATAGCAGGGAGCCCCAAATTAAATCCAAGCCCTTCTCAGACCTCTTCCTACATCCACAGACTCAGCAAAGATACAGGGCTGATTTCTGGGCCAGTGACAAGTCCCCATGTCACTCTGTTAGCTGCCTTGCCAGCCCCCAGCTCAACACTTTGAGGAGGAACAGTCAGAATGGACAAGACTGCAGACTCTGCAGTCTGGCTGCAGCAAGACAGAGCCCTGGCATGGAATGAGTCCTTGGAGCACAGCTCTCTCACTGCCACAAGGTGCTTCCTCCACCAAGTGTCCTTCAGGCACAAGCTCTGCTTGCTCTTCCTACTCCAGCAGAGCCAGCCCAGCCAGAGACCCCTCGATCTCCTGTCTGACCTGGAACCTGCAGCAGCTGCACACAGAGGGAAGGTCTCCATCTTTCCCTGCAGCTCCCACTAAAGCCACAGACCAGAGTGCCATGCTTGGTGTGCCCAACTGCTCCATGGCCACAATGGGAGAGCCCCTGGCAGCCTCCATGGCCAGGCAGGACAGACTCCTCCACCAGCTCCAAGCAACTGGCTGCTCCCATCTTCCTTCCAAGCTGCTCCCCCCCTCAGTGAGGTCCCCACCTTCCCTGGGGCCACGGGACTCACCCAAAGGACAGTCCAGCCCCAGGAGGGAGGTTATGCACTCTCAGGGGACTGGGCCACTTCTCTGGGAACTGCTGCTGGCACAGAGAACCAGCTCCACAGCCAGACTGGCATCTGCTCTGCTGGAGGGCCATGCCTGAAGGGCAGCAGCTTCTCCCACGTGGCAAGTTTGGAGGACACAGGTCCCAGGGAGTGTTTAACACTCCCTCATCCCTGCCCAAGAGGAGCAGCACTTGTGTGGGGTCACACACCACGACCATCTCTACCCTGGCTCCCAGAGAGCAATTCACTGAGACAGGGGAAGTGGAGACCATGTTTTCCCTGCTGGCAGCTGTGACCAGAGAAAGGAGCAGGCTAAGGCTGCTTGATCTGAAGCTCAGTGTGAACCCCTCGTACCGTATTTCCTTCGGATTTCATCATGTCGTGATTTCATCTCTGCTCTCCTGCAAGAAGCCAACACAGAGACCACAGGTCGGTGACTGGCAATACAAACAAGCAAGCAAGAGATGACAGCTCCTTGCTTCTTCCCAACCCAGGCTGTTCCAGGCTGCCAGGGTTGCTCAACCCATCTCCCCACCTCCTGGAGGCACAGGGGACCACCAGAGTCACACACACCACATGGCTGGGATGCTGCACCCACAGAGGCCTCAAAGAAAGATGATGCTTGTGAGGTTTACTCAGAGATCTTGGAGCAAGTCCAGAGGAGGCCACAATGATGCTCAGAGGGCTGGAGCAGCTCTGCTCTGAAGCCAGGCTGGGAGAGTTGGGGTGTGCAGCCTGGAGAAGAGAAGGCTCCAGGGAGCCCTTAGAGCAGCTTCCAGTGCCTGAAGGGGCTCCAGGAAAGCTGGGGAGGGGCTTGGGACAAGGGCAGGGAGGGAGAGGACAAGGGGGAAGGGATGAAAACTGGGAGAGGGGAGATTGAGGTGAGACATGAGGAGGGAATTGTGGAGTGTGAGGGTGGTGAGAGCCTGGCCCAGGTTGCCCAGGGAAGCTGTGGCTGCCCCATCCCTGGCAGTGTTGAAGGGCAGGTTGGATGGGGCTTGGAGCAGCCTGGGCTGGTGGGAGGTGTCCCTGCCCATGCAGGGGGGTGGAGCTGGATGATCTTGAAGGTCCCTTCCAACCCATTCTGTGGTTACATGTGAGCTCAGGGTGAAGCCAGGGTGAAGCCCCAGCTGCCTCCTGGCCAGCAGGCCCAGGGGTCCTGCAGCCATGACCCCACCTCACCTCTCCTCCTGCCGCACCCGCCTCCTCTCTCGCTCCCTGGCTGCTCTCTCGTCATCCTTGTCTGGCCTGGCAGACAGAAGAGCCTGGTTAGTGCTCAGCACTCAGCACCTGCTGCCACCTGAGCTACTCCACGAGCACAGGGAGCCCCTCCAATACTTGCTTTTTGCTCTTCTTCTTGCAGCAACAGCAGCAGCAGCAGACCCCCAGCCCGAGCAGGACTGTTCCTCCCACCACAGACATGGCAATGATCAGGGCTTCAAAGTTCACTGAAGAATTTGACAAGACACATTTAGCACAGGAACACGTGGCTGCCTGGGGGTACAATATTTACCAGCTATGGGGCTACTGTCACCAGCTGGGCTGGGGACACACGTAACAGCCTGGGAAAGCAAGATGGACATTGTTATCCACAGGTATCCAAGTGCTGGCACCAGCACCTACACACCAACTGAGTATCTGGAGCTGCTAATCATAGTGCTCAGCTTCTGGCTGGGTAGAAAGGCAAGAGCAAATGCACACAGGTCAAACTCCTCTGGCAGGAACAGGAGCAAAGCTGCCTTAATCACTAACCCAGGTGAACAGTAACTCATCAAGGGGAAAAGAAAAACCAGACCCTGGAGGCTTCAGGGTTGAGGAGCAACCTCCAGCAGAGAGGTCACAGCTGGCCCTGGAGTTACTGCCCAAAGAAGGCAGCCTCAGAAGTCACCTGAGATGAGATGGGAGTGGGCTGGGGGCACTGGTGGCTGGCTGGAGTCCTTGGACAAGACCTGTTGGGATTTATCAGCTTGGGGCCAGCAGTGCTGCTGAAGCAGCTGAAGGCAGAAGGCTGCTCTGTGCACCCCACCAGCATGTTTTCCCAGGCTTTGGAGGATCTGCCTGCCCATACATCATGCAAAACCCAGTGGGATGTGGTGGTGAAGCATCATCCTTTTTGCCCTGGCCCCAGGGAGGCACAGTCTTGCCTTGGAACAGTGGGAGGCTTTGGTGGCTGCCCTGGGACAGACCCATGGAGTCATGTGGGGGACAAGCCTAAAAGCCAAGGATCAGAAGACAGCCCAGGGAGGGTGAGACAAACCCAAACAGCTCAAAAGGGAGTTTTTCCAGCAGGCCCATGTTTGCTTTGAAGCTTCTGAAAAGTTCAGATCACCCCTTCCCATGGAGAATGGTCCATGGAAGAGCGCCAGGCACCCACCCCAAGATAAAGGCATAAGTCCCACACACACTCACACCAAAAAATGCAGACTCATTTAGGAGCTAATCTCCCCAGGACTAATCTCCTCTGAAGCCAGTTTTACAAGTGAAGGAATGTGTTCTTCTATAATCAAACCTTTTGTGAAGCTACTCACATACAAACTAGTATTTCAAGGTCAAGTTCCAGAAAATCACACTGTGCAGTGCTCACAAAGAGGAGATTCTTCCTCCACGAGGTATGGGAGTGGTTTTAACTCTTGTGGGCAGAGAGCCCAGCCTCAGGCACAAGTCAGGCCACCACAACACAACCCCAAGTTCCTCATCAAGGGGACATGTGAGAGAACTCAAGGCTCAGCTTGCTCCCTAACTGCCCCAGCCCCCCAAAACTGGGTCCTGCCTGAGCACAAAGCACCAAGGCAATAATTTCTCCAGAAACCCACCAGGAAACAGGGCATCAAGGAGGAAAGGCAGCCAGAAAAAGGATCTCTCATGGGTGATCTGGCTGCAGGAGCCAGCTGCAGCACAGCTTCTGCAGGAGTGGTTTTGGAAGAGGGTATTTTCTCAGGTGGGTAAGAGCTGAGCAGGACCACAGCACGCTCAGCACCACAAGCCCATGCAGGCCTCCAGAGAAGTCACCTCACTTCTGATTCCAAGAGTCCTTGTGAGTTTTAAGAGCCTTCCTGGGACACCAGCCACACTGCTAAATGTGAAGAGCCAGAAACAGTGCAAGGAATGATGCACAGGGTGCAGAGGAGAGAGCTGCTGGAGAAACACACTGCTGAGCACACCTGGAGCACCTTCAACTCTGGTTCCTAGGCATGAGCCATGTTTGGAAGCCTCTGTCATGTGAAAGCAAGAACAAGGGGCAATGGGAACAAACTGGAGCACAGGAGGTTTAATCTAAGGAAATACCTCTTGCCTGTGAGGGTGACAGAGCCCTGGGACAGGCTGCCCAGGGAGGCTGTGGAGTCTCCATCCCTGCAGACATTCCAGCCCCACCTGGATGTGTTCCTGTGGGATCTGCTCTAGGGGATCCTGCTCTGGCAGGGATTGGACTGGGTGATCTCCAGAGGTCCCTCCCAACCCCAACCACCCTGTGGCTCTGTGAAAGCATGAGGAATATATTTAGAGCAGGTAAAGCCCCAGGGTAAAGCCCTGATCTCACTCCGCTTTCTCACCCAGGCCTCAGGAAGTTTGCAGAACCCTGCCTGACTTCAGCCTGTCATTGCCACACCAGCAGCAAGAAGGGAAGCTCCTGCTCCCTCCTGGGCAAGCAGCTGGCAGGGCCACTGAGCAGCAAGGGCAGGTGTCACCCCAGCAGCACCCACTTACCCCAGCAGACTCCCCAGCGCGCAGAGCGGAGCTCGCAGAGGTCGGCGGGGGGGAGGACTCTCCGGACAGGGTACTCCATGCACCTCCCACTGCTGGCACACCACAGGCACTGGGACACAGGAACCAGGTGGCACAGTGTTACTGGTTACTGCCTGTTAGCCACAGGGGCCACCACTGCCTGCTCCCAGGGACCAGGCAGCACCCAGCAGCAACAGGATGCTCGGGAGTGACAGTTGTATGTGGTCAGCACCAAGAGAGGCAGGGGAGGGGAAATGCAGGTTTGTAGAGCAAATAAAGATGCTGAGAACCCTCCTCCTGGCTTTCATGGTGGTAGTGATCACCCAATCCTTCACATTTATTCCGAGTGGCATTTTTTGGGGGGACAAGAAGAACACTCTTCTTTCCCAGTCAATCTACCTGCAGCAGCTTTGCACCCTGGTCTTCCTGGTGGCTCCAACCCCCAGATGGTTGGGTTTGGTCAAACTGGTTCTGGCTAAGTCAGTTGTGACATCTGACTCAAGCTGAAGTTTGCTGATACCTGAGATAAGGCAGTGGAGGTTGGTAGGACACACACACACATCCTGTACCCACCCACAGCCCAGTGGAGGGGCAACTTGACCAGCCAGTCCAGCCCACTGGGCTCCTTCACTGTGCACATCCCCCTGCCAGGGTGTCCCACCTGTGAGGAGGAGCTCAGCAACTCCACGACTCCACTCCAAAAGCACACAACAAAACCCAAAGCAGTTCCAAGCAATCTCTTCCCAGAGCACTGAGAGGGAAAATGCCCTCTCCTCATCATCACCATGGGTGGGTGGCACTGCAGCATGCTCAGGACCAGGGCAGGGAAGCAGCCCCAACTTTCCAGGAACCAAACAGCCCCACAAAGCCCATTTTCAGACACTGGGAGATGTTGGGAATTTTACTGCTACTACTTACAGTGACATTTTTCAGGCACTCCTCACAGCTCCTGTTTGTGTACTGCTGACAGTCTACAGGAAGGGAAAAAAAGAGACACCTCAGTACTTGGAAGAGCTTCTCAGTGGTTTAAAACTCCAGACTCCTCAGAGCCTGCTCCCACCTGCTCCAGGAGGCCCTCACTCCCATCAGAGCAGTGGCAATGCTAGATTCAAGACACACCCCACGCCATGGTGGGAGACACAAAGGAAAATGGAAGTTCTCTGCCTTGCCCCTGCTGACCCCAAGCCCTGAGCTGCAAGTTCCTCTCCCTGGGTCTTATTTCCCTAAAAGCCTGAGCACATGGTGTGGCTGGCAGGGAGTGGGACAGCTGGGTGACACAGCTGGGGTCAGTCCAGAGGGAGCCTGTGAGGATGAGGACAAAGCACTGGGCATGTGGTGCAGGCCTGTATCCCCAGGTGATGGAGCAGGTCAAGCAAACAAGCCTGAGACAAGGAAATGACTCCCAGGAAAAGCAGAAGGAGGGACACAGCCCATACCCTCTCACTGCACATGAGGGCTGTACCTTGCCCCAGCCAATTCATCCCGACCTTCCTTTAGCAGGAGAGGCTCCAGGTGATGGGAGCAGCACCACAGCCTAAAATCTGTGCCCATGTTCAGACCATGTTTCCACCCCCATTTGGTAGGGGAAGACCCCTGCTCTACAGACACAGGCAGCTCTCAGCACCAGTGGATGATGCCATCCCAAGGGGGTACAGGTCAGCTGGGCAGGGGGAACAAATCAAGTCTGAACACAGGCCAAGGCAGCCCAATCCAGAAAGTCTTCCTACAGGATATTTGCCTGCCATTTCACTGGTGTGCTCCCCCAGACCCTCAGGAAGGATGAAGTTTGCCAGCCCTTAAGGAGCAGACATTTAAGCCTCACCCCTGCCTCAAGGATGGAAGCATCAGCCTGTTTGCCTGTGGTTTACCAAACAAAAACCAAACAACCCCACAAACCAATCTGCCTGACTACTCAGTAACTGCTGGCAGAAGAATCACTGCTGCACAGCACCTGAATCAGGAAAAAAAACCCACCACACTCCAAGCAACAGTCCCAGAAGTGCTTGTTTTCCACACTCCCAAGCAGCAAAGATGCATTTTCTCACTCCAGCTGGCAGGAGCCCTGGGCTGTGACCCACTGTCAACAGTCACATGCTCTGTGCAGCCCTCCAAACAACTGGGCAATTTATGAACACAGCTCAGATAAGGGTGTTTACACTCTGCCTGGAGAGGCAGAGATTGCAGATTTGAAACCCTTGAGGAAGCTGCGTCTTCCCCCGTTTCTCCAGCTGGGACAGGAAAAGCATCACTGCCTCCAGACTGTTTGCTGACAAGGAGGCACAGACAAGCCCTCTGGCACCACAGGAGGCCGAGGAGGGCTTATGGTTTCCACCAGGCTTCCTCCCAGTGCTCTGCTTTTCACTGAGGAGTCCCCTTCTCCTGGCAAGCCCAGCTGGGGCTCATGCTCACAGCCCAGTCAAAGCCACCCTCCCCCAGAGAGATGGGAATGGGCTGTTCCCAGGACCTCCCAGCCCTTCAGGATTGGGGTTTTGCCCAAACACCCCATCTCAGGGGACCAGCCTGGGCAGCACCTTGGGCACAGAGGTGGGAGAGAAGGTCTTGCTGTGCTAGAAGCCAGTGCTTTTGCCACTTGGCTACGAAAGAAGGGAATGGCAGGGGGTATAAGGAAGCCAGCAGGACACATGCTGGTCCTCACTCTCCTCCTGAGCAGAGCCACCGTGCAGCTGCCAGGAGGCTGGGCATCTTCTGGAGAACAGCTCCTTGCTCAGAAGGGTGGGCAGACTTCTTGGGACCCCCTCCGAGGGGGCTGCCCCAACTTTTTGCTAGAGTTTCTCTACCTGGCACCTCACCCACAGGGCTCTGGAGAAGCAGTTAAGCCACCACCTGCTGCTCACCCAGATCTGAGGACACCCACCCTTCTTCCTGCTCTGAAGAAGGACAGGCTCCCCCAGGAGCTCCTCCAAAGGGCCACCAGTGGGGCTGGGATGTCTCAGAAGTTCCCCCTGCCCAGCACTGGTGCCCAACTCCTACCCAAGCTGTTCAGGTCACCAAACACACCCTCGGCAGCTGGAAAAAGCAGCAGATAAAGCCTCTCCTCCTACACCCCATCTCGCAGACGTCAGAGGGACACCGAGGTGCCCCGGGACACCCTGTGGAGCTCCCAGGTGCCCTCCCAGCTCCCTCTGCCCGTCCCCAGTAGCCACAGAGCCCTGCCCAGTAGCCACCAACCCAGCCAGGCTGCTTCCCGCACCGGCCACCCCGCAAAAGAAGATTTGGGGTGCTCTGCCAAGGAGCCTCCACCCCTCCACAGGGGCTGAGAGGGCAGGAACTCGCCCGAACCAAAGGCTCAGAGGCGGTACCGGTAAGGAAGGAGCTCCGGGCTGGGAGGGGGACACGCTTACCTGCCGGCAGGTGCTGCGGGGCCGCGGGGAGCAGCGCCAGGGCCAGCGCGGAGCAGAACCGCAGCGCCCAGGCCATGGCGGGGCCGGGAACGGGGCTGGACCGGGAGAGG